ACGGTATTCAATAATGAATTTTTGTAGAACACTTACTTGGCGCATTACAAACTCCTCGATACAACAACAACAAACAACTCATCGATACCCGAACATGAGTCAATTGGTGTACTGAGCTGTGTTAAATTATCTACATTGAAATCGAAATCAATACTCAACTTCTATTTCCTACAATTACACTTCAGGCACCGACACGATCTTCTCTGTGCGTAAGCTGTGACCTATGCGAGTGCCCTTTCGTGTCGAGTCAAAGTTTTCTTCTTAGTCCAAGCGCCTAAGAAAAGCAATGTGATCGATTTTTTACCACTGAATTCGCCTCTAAAGAGAGGTGTTACGGTGTTTAAACTTTCAAACCAAAATATCTGCTATTGGAAGAGTGGTATTTTCCAAAAATTTGAGAACGCAAATCTCATGCTCTCAAAATTAAAAACTTTGGAACATCTCCCTTACTGAAAATCTATGGTCTCAACGCAATCTTAAAATCTATGTTCTCAAAAATGCAATCTTAAACTTTGGTTCTATCAACGAGCAGTAAACCCTCTAAGTTCACTCTCTCTTTTTTCAATATGAAAAGTCCATGGAATTTATTTAAAACAAACCCTCTAGATGATTAATGATAGTTCACTTGGTAATTGTTTCAGCACGGCATTAATTAAAAACCACACAATTAGAGATTCATAAATGTCTATTGCACTGACAAGTCTCGTCATCAAGTTCTTAGGAAATCTCAACGAAAATTCTTAGGAAATCTCTCTTCGGAAACGAATGCCTCATCCGTTCATATCCTGTTTCAAATCTTACTGGAAACATTGATATGTTATTCAGTTGCAGCGAATTACCATCACAATCAATTAACAAATTGAATCTGGGAGTGCGACTATTTAAAGTTTTTTTTATTACGCAGACGAAAAATTAAAAATAATGTCACAGGATATTCATTCGTCTTATTAATCATAAGTCACCAAGAGCTTATAGACAAAATTTCATGAAATGAACGAATTTCGAGGAGTACAAAAAAGCACGATTCAAATTACCTTCGAGATCGGTTTTTTTAATTGTAAAACTCAAACTGGCCAATATTACGCCTAATTCGAGAAAAATTACTCTGCGCCGCCCAATTTCAGTTAAATTGACATGGGAGCCGCAGATGCTTCACACCTCTATAGCACACTGCTGCCACGATGACATCATAGTGACGAACTTAAGTCTTGGCATAATTTCTGAGAGAAGACGGTACCTTATGATGAGTTTGGGACTTCCTAGTCCCCCAGCACGCTGATGCGCCGCCTTCGTCGTCCTCCGTCTCCGAGTCGTCGCTAGGCAGGTCACCCCGCCCTCGGGTCCCGGATGTAACGTTGGACGTGTTCCGTATATTTGCCCTCCTTTGGGCCAGCTGATGCAAGATGCTGTTGCTTGTCGCTTGCTGAGGGTAGTTTCCTATTACTGGACAATCCGGGATCTTCTTCAGAAACTTATCCATTCGCCTCTTGAAAGTCGCATGAATAAACTCCCTCCTCTCACTTCTCACTCACAAGCACCTCTCACATCTCCCTCACAAGCACCTCCACATCTCACTCACAAGCACTTCTCACAAGCTCCCTCACAAGCAAGCCTGGCAGCAGCTTCATTGCCATTTATTCCAACGTGCCCACGGTCCAACTCCAAGGTAAATTTGTTCGGTGTTTAGCCACAAGTAAATTCTGTATCCAAGGTACCAGGTGATGTCTGGAAAGGTGATCGGAGGCAGGCGATGCAAGCAAACGCGTCTCTAAATATTGTAAAGGGATGTAATGTTCTTGTAAATATTAGATTAGTAATGTCTCGTTTAGGTTTTTAGTCTCCACTGACGTGACCTTGCGTTGGAATCTGTAATTGTACCTTGTCATTCATATGTGCGGTTCCACTACAGAGGTACGTGGTTCTTTCAGTCGTGTTTATTTTTAGTGTTATTTGTGCCCTAATGTTCAAGTGATTTTTCAATTGAAGTTTTAGTGAATATTCTTAGTTATATTATTCCTGTATCATATGTCATCCGTACTATATTTCTGCGTTTATTCGCTTATTTATGTTTTCGTTTTGTATGTGCAGAAAGGTTCCTAAGTAAGGTATTCACTAGACCATTATTAACATAACATAACATAACATAATGATGTCGGCGCTGAAATGTAGGCCTGATGTGGCCTGTCGCTACACGGTTCCGTTAATACTGACACGTTGTCGTCTACCTACTAGAAAATCTCTGATCCATTGGAGTACGTTTCCCTCAATCCCCAAGGACTTCACTTTACGCAACAGCCGCTCATGCGGAACACTGTCAAATGCTTTGGCAAAATCGAGGTACAGTTATTACAGTTGGCCTAAAGATAGCGTACGATTGGTTGTTTATTATGGTTTTGTATTCATTGATAGGTCGTTTCAATTATTATTTTTTACTCATTGATTCAGTTTAATTCATCCTTATTAATGGCGATAATTATTACAACGCGATTATTTATACGTAATGTCTGGTGCCACTGACGACCATATTTTTATATTATTTATTTATCGAATGAGCCCCGACAATATTATAAAATTGCTTATTTTTTCAGCCGCAAATTATTGCGAAGTATATTGCATACAGCCCTGCTGAGAACACTGAAGCGACGGGTGGTAGTCGAGATTTAATTTTGAATGAGAGGTTAAAGATTCTACAACCTTATTTGTAGTCACTTACAGAGCCGTCTGTGTTGAATATTTTGTTGAAGAAGAGGAATAGGTGTTGAAGAAGATATTTGTGGTCCCGTAAGCCATTAAAAGCTTGCTGCCATTGCTATGGGGAGGTTTCTTCTTTGCGGTGTACAGCTAGTCTGGCAAAGGTTATGATTCTGGCTGGGATGTATCGTGCTTGCATGGGCACTGTAGGAATATCCTGTGTCCTCAGTTGCAGGTTTCTCAAGCCCTGATATATGCTCGGCCTGTAGCTGGTGCGGGTGCGCAAGGTGTTCATATAATGCAAAGGTTGTGTTATGTTGTAGGAAAACAATGAGTTTGGATGAACTCGGGTCGTCCGCCGTGGCATAGATTTCAGAAAAATTCAATGCCATTTCTTAAATTCTATACCATATAGTTTTACTACAATATGTATGTTTTGCTGTGCGTTTTACTGCATATAATATGTTACTGTATGTTAGTATGTTACTTGCTGCACCAGAAATTTAACTGAAACATGAAGTGGCAAGATAATACAAAGTAGCAAAAACTACTGTTTTACTACTGTATGCAGTTAAAATTAAATCCTTTTGCCGTTTACCTTGGCACTGATTGCTACAATTCGTTCAACATAGTTCAGGAGACCCGCATTTAGTTGTATACTTGTGACTGAAGACTGATGACTTATTCAATGATTAAGTGATGATGAGCACGTAAGTAATGTAAGCCAGAACAATTCACAGCTGCTTCTGTGGTCTGTTTAATTTTTTGGACTTTCCCTACCCGATGTCATTAAATGGTATGAATTACACACTATAACTTTGACGTAATATTCTATTTTATTGTATACGAAAAAATATTGCAAATATATATTTGCAAAAACAATACATATATAAATATAAATATTTTTCTGGTGCATATTTATATTTTTTGCATATATATATGCAAAAAATATTGCACTGACGTTAGGATGGTATGAATGGTATAAAATTTATGTCAAGTAGTTTTCTATACGTTTTTATTATGTATATCATCAACAGATTAGGGCATGTCCGGACTGTCATCAGTTCCAGATATCGTAATATTTCCCCATCCAGCTGGGTCTCAAACCAGCAACTCACAACTGAGTTTAATCACCTGTCCACCTCGTTGATGTCGGCAGAGCGTACATTATAATGTCGTATAAGTTAGCATTCAGACTGTCTTAAAAGCTCAAATTCGTATGCGAGAACAAATAGTAAATCAAATCTGATATAAGTTTCTCATTTTACTTCAAAATTTCTTATCCCAGTACGTTAACCATTAAGATACACATTCAAACCTTATATGTTTTCAACGTTTTCTGGCTTGATGAACAGCATCAGCATGTGGCAAGCGTGTATTAATAATATATCTAGATCAGCTTAATAATATTTATGAGATCAACTTAACTCAGGGTCTTAACATTAACAATGACTGTCACTTCTAGTGAGGAACTTTATTATTTACCCTGTCTGGAGGGTCGAAAAAAACGAAAACTGTAAGGGAAACCATCATTGTAGGTAATAATAATTGTGAAAAGTAATGCATCACGTGATGAAACAAAACATTTCTATAATGATGCTTCCTCAAAGCCAATGTTTTTTCAATGATAGATGGAATTTTACAAATTGGCCTATATGCAGAGGCCGTTTCGGTGCCATCAGTAGTCTTTTTCGTTTCAGGGTGGCTCTCTCATCACTATATTTAATAAATAACATTATTTGAATAATAAGCCTATATAGTTGATAGATGGAGGCTACATACAACAACCAAATGTGAGACAGCGCTGTCTCACAGAGGCGCTGTCTCACAGAGGCGCTGTCTCACAGAGGCGCTGTCTCACAGAGGCGCTGTCTCACAGAGTTTCTACTTCATGCATTCATATTAGTCTCCTCCAAAAACTAGAATAACAAAGGTTTTAACGACTTTATTATTAATCTCGTGTCAATTGAATATTCTCGTCTAGCTTGCAGCTTAAGCCAATTAACTTTCACTAATTTCAGTATGAACTCCTTCATCCCACAACCGATCTACTCAAGTGAACAATAAAGTGAACAATACAATACAAAATAGGTGAACAATACTCATGACACCGACTCACCGTGACCGGCAAGGCGAAGAAATGAAAGAATACAAAACCAAATAATTGAACAATGCTCATGATACCGACTCACCGTGAGTGGCAAGGCGAATAATACAATACAAAATAGGTGAACAAAACTCATGACAACGACTCACCGTGACCGGTAAGGCGAATAATACAATACAAAATAGGTGAACAATACTCATGATCAAGACTCACCGTGAGTGGCAAGACGTCTCAGTACGAAAGTTATTTCATGGACCGAGTCGAAGGTTGCGAGGTGCCCCGTAAGCGACCTGCACTCCACGACCGCATCTTGCCAGGACCGCGCAACGGCGACGCCATGCAGACACTTGCGGCCCACGCGCGAGTAGTTCCGAGGACACGAGCCTGCCATAATGAAATATGCGGCATTTGTCTACGGATACCTTAACAGTCGGTAATTATATTCTAAACTCTTCAATACCATTCTAAAGCTTCAGTGATATTCTAAAGTCGTCAATGTTTTCTAAGTCGTCAATGGTATTCCAAAGTTGTCAATGATATTCTCGAGTCATCAATGATATTCTTCAGTCATCAATGATATTCTAAAGTCGACAATGATATTCAACCGTCGTCAAATATATCCTAAAGTCGTCAACGTTATTCTAAGTTAGTCAACGATATTACAAAGTCGTCAAATATATTCTAAAGTCGTTAATGATATTATAAAGTCGACGATGATATTCTAAATGTACATACTCAATATATCACAATAGAGCAAATTACTCTTACATACATCGATGTCTATTACGATTTGGGAACTGAATTTTGTGAACGCGACCTAAGGATGATTCAGTATCGTGCACATGCCACATGATGAAAATTAAAATTTTATGCAGAGATATTGCTGATTAATTTCAGTGTATTGAACTATTGATGTAGGGACATTAGTCGTGAATCATTTTTACGGCATTGGCTTAGCTCGTAGAAGAGTAAAATCCTTAGAAAGGGAGTTGAGTTCAAAAATTTGAAAAATTCAACTAACTTGAATTTGACGGAATCGGCGGTGCAGTTGAAGATCCGTCACAGTCGCGCTCGTCGCTACCGTCGCTACAGTCCGAGTCGCCATCACAGCGCCACGACGCGGGCATGCAGAAGCCTGTTCTCTCGCACCTGAACTGATCCGATCTGCAGGCGCCTGCGAGAAAATATTGCTCCATAATCTAAATCATTATTAATTATCGTGACACCCATTGCCAGTGCAGCGTGTGACGGTCTGATACGCTGATGTTGCGTGAGGCTGAAATTCCTATCCATACTGGGAACGTCAGATTGAAGCTCGAGGGTTCTGCAATGAATAAGAGCACTGAAACCCTGCTATTTACTATTTACTAAATCGTAAGTACGAGCAATAAAATAAGAGAGAAAAAGCTTATTTACCCTCATTTAAAGATTTCGGCTAATATTATTTTTACCAGTTCATCTGATTCTCATACTGTTTTACTAATTACATGACTAATGCATCGTTTCTACTTCATGCATTCATATTAGTCTCCTCCAAAAACTAGAATAACAAAGGTTTTAACGACTTTATTATTAATCTCGTGTCAATTGAATATTCTCGTCTAGCTTGCAGCTTAAGCCAATTAACTTTCACTAATTTCAGTATGAACTCCTTCATCCCACAACCGATCTACTCAAGTGAACAATAAAGTGAACAATACAATACAAAATAGGTGAACAATACTCATGACACCGACTCACCGTGACCGGCAAGGCGAAGAAATGAAAGAATACAAAACCAAATAATTGAACAATGCTCATGATACCGACTCACCGTGAGTGGCAAGGCGAATAATACAATACAAAATAGGTGAACAAAACTCATGACAACGACTCACCGTGACTGGTAAGGCGAATAATACNCCTCCTGCGGTTTTTGCCACTATGTGATAATCTAATTTGACCTGAGTATTCATTTACACTCCTACATCGCGAACGAGTCGCTTCTCTCCGATTCTCGAGCCATCAGGTGCCAGGTGGTGGTGCTCCATACCAGCACTTCTGCTACCTTTGTATCTCAGAACCTCAAACTTGGTCCCGCTGAACTGCATATTGTTCACTTGGGCCCAATCATATTTAGCAGCGAGGTCTTTTGCAACCTTTTGCTGTCTGTCCTGTCTGTAATAGTCATTAGTATCCTGACATTGTCGACGAATGACGATGCAGGGGCGTGGTTCACTGCAAAATCTATGTCGGCGATGTGGACGAGGAAGAGGATAAGGGCCGAGTACCGTTCCCCCACTCTTCAACCTAGCTTTGCTCGATCCCGAGCCTGCAACAACGACAGCTTGTGGTCTTTCAGTTAGGAAGTTGTGGATCCATGCCAACAATTCACCTCCGACTCCCAGTGGTCTTCATTTTCTGAGGAGCTCCATGGTCAACTATGTCAAACGCTTTCGCGAAGTCCAAATACACCACGTCCACCCCGGCCCCCTCCTCCAGCATGGCCAGGATTTGGAGGTGATGCTCCAGTAACTGAGACAAACAGGAACGATTTCGTCTAAAACTGTGTTGCCCTGTGTAATTTTGGGGTTTGTCTCTTGCACCTCCTTTGTAGATAGGGGTAATTAGCCCTAATTTTAGGTCACTTGGACATTTCCTACATTTCCTTCTCTCAATGATGTTTTCCAGAGAAATGTCAGAGGGACCTTTAATGTACCGACACATTTTTTCAGTAATACTGCAGGGACCCCATCTGGCCCAGGATTTTTCTCAATCAATTGTTACCCGCACTCAGTTGTTTTACTGACTGTACAGTTTTTTTCAATCAATTGTTATTAGCACTCAATTTTTACTGACTTTACTTAATTCCAGACTATTCCCTGGAACACTTCAGTACAGAATGCAATAACAGAGTTAAACCGACAACATTAAATGTAACCAGGGCCGCGCACGACACCAACGTCTGTCACTTCACACAGCCACAAGCAAATCAATTATAGCTGTTATCAATTATATATAAAACATTTATTACACATAGTTTGTGTGCCTTAAAGGGTGCTAGTTGTTTCCTGGTGATTATGCCATTAAAAGATATTTAAAAGTTTAATCTATATAAAAATGTTTTTTTCTTACATAAGCTAATTTGAACCAGTATTAATGAATTGATTATTCCATAATTTGTTTACTCATATGTATTACCAAAAATTAAAGTTGATTAATTTAGCTGTATGATTTAATTATCACCTGCTCTATAAATCGGATAATTATTTGACTCACTGGAGTTTGCGGAAGTGGGTCGTGAAATGGAAACCGCGTCACAGTCGCGCTCGTCGCTGTTATCGTCACAGTCGCTGTCGCCGTCGCAGCGCCACGACGCGGCGATGCAGCGGCCGCTGTCTGAGCACCTGAACTGATCGGAACTGCAGGCGCCTGCGAGAAAAATTTCTTTGTTAGAGCTGCGCAACCTGAATGATCATTAGGTGTCAGATGCCATACTTAATAATAATAATTACTGTAACAATATAATTTAACAACAATAAAGAAATAATGATTATTTAATAATAATGATAATTCGTAAACATGTTTTAATTAATATAATTTATACTGACAATGTTGATAATAAATTATAATTTAATATTAATAATTTGAGATGCTCCAGGTTTTAGTAAGACGCCTCTGACCAAGGAACGTCGTTCATATTTGTGGATATGGACGTTCATATGGAAAACGTCAAACTTGACTTACCTGGAAAAATTATAGCATCACCAGAAAAAATTATGTCTGAAATATTTGTTCTTTGACGACATGAAGATCAAATAGCTTATGGATAATCAGCCAGTCCAATTTGACAATCATTAAGGGAGGAGTGCATCGTGATGAGATTACCTCGGTAAATCAAAGTTAGAATGATGCTATACAGTATTCATACTGTTTTCCATGCTATGAATACAGTATTCAAATTTTCACGCTAGAACGTACACTAACAGTTTGACAGGCAGCACTGTTCGCGACGTACAGTTACGTTCATCGCTGTTGTCATGACAGTGCTTGTCACCGTCGCACCTTCAAATGATAAACATATTTTATGACTTGAGAGATAATTATGGTTGTAAAATCACTTGATTTCTTGGAATTTTTTTGTTAACTTATTCTGGGATTGTCGAACTGACGATGGATCTGGAGCCTGAAATGTTTCCTCCAATAAGGATAAGATAAATTTTGTGCCATCTTGTTTGTTTTTAAATTTCTTATAATTTCGAGCTACGCTACCGATTTACGAGATTCATATACCCGTGACAATAATAATATTTCAATTATTTTACAGCACTAAACAAAAAATTGATTTATAAGTATGCAGGCTTACAGATTGTCTCACTTTATAGATCACCGTAAAATAGTGTACGTTTAGGCAGCCGCATTTATCAGTGCATCTGTTAGTACATTCTCAATAAACATTCCAGAAACTATTCAATTTTTCGCATAATAGCTTATTTACATGACAGCGCTAAAAACTTTACGTACAGTCAGCCTCATCAGAGCCGTCTTTACAGTCCAGTTCTCCATCGCAGTGTAGGTCCGTGGCGATGCACCGCGATGTGTTGTGGCACAAGAAACCTGAACACTGCGCTGTGGGGGTGAGAGATTTAGTAGAATTAATAAAATGTTTTGGAGCGCCCTTTTAACTGTTCGTCAAAATATTTTTTCCTTCACTAAAATCACCCTCGTTTCTATTCACATGTCTGCTGCACCTTTCTCAACTTTGGTATAATCACCTATCTCTCATACCTGATCAAATGCCCACCTTCCCTTCTGTACAGTTGCGCTGATAACTGTCGTCATGAAGATTTACTTTCAACACAATCACCGGCAAAACTGTTCACTACATTGCCTCACCTTCAGTACAGTTGCGCTGATAACCGTCGTCATAAAGATCTTACTTTCAGTACAATCACCCTCAAAACTGTTGACAAGCCTGCGTTACCTTCAGTACAGTTGCGCTCATCACTTCCGTCGTGACAGTCTGGCCCGCCATCACATCTCAGCTCGAGACTGAGACACTCGCGTCCATTCCAGCACGCGAACTGGGAGTCCTCGCAAAGGCCTGAAATTAAATTGATTTTATGAGTAGTTTGCTTAAAGTCAAATATTACAGGCAAATCGATTTTTTATTTATTTTTTACTAGCCTCCTTTCTATTTGCATTTTTACTCATTTCATTGTAATTTTGGCAGTATGTGTGAGATTTTGAGATGATGCCGCTTCCCTTCAAAATAAATTGTTATAATCCATGTTCATGTATAGTGATCTGGTTGTAATTTTCAGCATGATTCATTTTATGCTCTAATGAAGGTGGAAACGTGCTAGATAAGGAAGCAAATTAAAACATCGAGTGACCCTGAAGTCATGCAGTAATACTTGCTAACAATTAAAATAGTTTATTTTTTACATTTTTTAACACTTTTTTCAGATTTTTGGGTCACCTTCTACGACTTTAACACAATCGTCTTCGTCTGTCGATTCGTCGCAATCGTCCTCGCCATCGCAGCGATAAGCAAGCGGAACGCAGTGGCCGTTGCCGCAGCTGAACCCGCGGCACTCTGCTGCAGGTGTCGAAAAATCAAACCATTTAATTGAAACTCATGGCTCGAAAAAAAATTCTTTTGTAAATTTGAACTTATGGTGCTAAATCATGCAGTTTTATTACCAACTCCTTATGATATTATATGACAATTTCAAATATATCGGCTCCAAAAGTATATATAACTTTTCTTCCAAAGAAATGAGCCTCAGCTGTGCATACCAACTGAGAAAATAGCAAATCTGTCGATCTGAGAAACAACGAACACCCAAAAAAACAATAATATCATTTCTCTGGAAAAAATATGAATAAGAAATAAGCAACTCAAAATGTTATGCAGTTTCAATTTTGGATTGAATGCTGAGAATTTCAATATATTTGAATGAATATAGAATTTAATCACAAAAGTCCACGCCACTACGTGTCATAAATTACAAAAAAGTCAGGTAAAATCAACCTAAACTAAAAAAATTATGAAGTATGTAAACAAAAAGTGAGAAATTCAAACACATAGAACAACCATATTCACTTGAACTAAAAATGTGATTACACACAATTCTATGGACAAATATTTATCGCATTCAATTAATAAGTCAATTATTAATGAACTGTTACCTCACAACAACATTGAATGTGAAGCGTATAACTAACATACTATTCTCATAGTTCTTGTTCATTATTGTTTGCATCATGGAACGTTATTTCTCACCTTGTGACTTGTGTACAGTTGGTCTCATCGTTCCTGTTCATTATTGTCTGCATTATAGAACGTTAAATCTCACCTTGTGTACAGTTGGTCTCATCGTTCCTGTTCATTATTGTCTGCATTATAGAACGTTAAATCTCACCTTGTGTACAGTTGGTTTCATCGTTCCTGTTCATTATTGTCTGCATTATAGAACGTTCAGCTTCACCTTGTGTACAGTTGGTTTCATTGTGTTCATTTACTGTTCATAATTGTCAGCATCATAGAAAGTTGTATCTCACCTTGTGTACAGTTGGTCTCGTCGTTCCCGTTCGGACAGTCACGGTCGCCGTCGCAACGCTGAGTCAGCGGTATGCAGCGATATCTGCCACAGTCAAATTCTTCTTCTGTGCAGTCACCTGCAATGGAAAATTAGGTAAGTGCTAGCATGATATGTGACACCAAATTTTCAAACTGTATGTCATTTATTTTAATCCTGAAAATTTCATGAATTTTTAAAATGTATATTAATGCTCTGATTTTAAGTCGAAAGTTAGAAACAATTGAGTGTACGACTCGAGATAACTACTATCCATGAATTGTTCGTGTTATGCAATAAAGAGAAGTCCTCCAACGAGTAAGGAATTGGTAAAAATGCAGTTTTAATATCTTACAATTTTGTTCATCACTGCCGTCACCGCAATCGTTGTCGCCATCACACTTATAACTCGCGGGGATGCAGCGATTGTTGTTGCATTGAAACTGCGATGAATCGCACGTGCCTGAAATATTGTTTACTGTATAAAATACACGGCGTGATAGATGACAACATGCAGTTTTTAGTACCCCAGGTATAGTTGCGCTCACATATTATCAGTCACACACTCTACCTATAGTTTAGCAGACAAATTATATCAGTCATCCACTCTACGTGAACTTGCGCTCACATATCATCAG